AAAGATGTTTTCTCCTTTTGCTTTCCATAATCAGCATACTGTTTGAGAGCCATCTTAGTCTATGATAGCCAAAAATCAGAAGTAATCTGATAGAATGTTTCTTTGAAAACACAACTCTGGGCAGCTCACTGCAGATTGAATTATGAAACATCAATTTAAATTATGTCAATATATTGAGAGAAGAACCTCAATGTGATGGATTTAAACAACACTGAGAGAAACAGGTCTGTAAGATACTTATTTTTAGTTTTCCATCAAAAGATAGTGCAAAAGAAATTCTGGAGGGACAAAAAAGAAAGCATGTATAACTCATAGATTCAAAATTACCAATGTTTGCATAAGGATAACTTTAGAGAAGTATTTCATTTTCCTTTTATGAAATAATTGCACCCACTATCTTGTATACTTTATTATCAATCTTGGGAAAATGGCTTGATTTGTTTTACATTTCTTTTCCACAAATGCCACAAGTTTAGACTTCTAGTTCTCCTGAGAGTCAAGGAAATGTAGATAGAAGTTTAAAAAAACAACAACCAAATCTAGTTTCTTTGTGGTTTTCAGGGATATTGAAAAGATAGAATCCTAGTGAAGCTAATCCTATTTTGCTTGTAATTTAGACAATCAAAAAGAGAACTTTATTGCATTTTGGCCAAGCTGGCTGATGTTATTACAGGCCTTCATTGCGAACCTCTACTCCAATCTCAGTCTTGCACTAAGCATGTCTCCATTTTGTCTCTGTGTGTAGTTTTGTAGCATGTTGGGAAAAACTGCTCCTATGCTTTCATCCTGTGAGTCCCTTGGATTGCAAGGCTATCAAACTGGTCAGTCCTAGAGGAGATTAACCCAGACTGTTCTTTAGAAGGTCAGATCCTGAAGATGAAACTCAAATACTTTGGCCACCTAATGAGAAGGAAGGACTCACTGGAGAAGAGCTGGGAAAGATTGAGGGCAAAAGAAGAAGGCGACGGCAGAGAATGAGGTGGCTGGATGGAGTCACTGAAGCAGTCGGTGTGAGCTTTAATGAATTCGGGGGATGGTAGAGGACAGGAAGGCCTGGAGGAACATTGTCCATGGGGTCACGATAGGTCGGACAGACTTCTCGACTAACAACAACAATATGCTTTCATCATCTGTTATCTGTTCTTTCATACAACAAAATATAATCAAATTGACTTTATAGTCTTCTGGAGGGGCAGCTGTAACATAAACAACAGTCTTGGGGCTGCATAAAGACAAACAGATCAATATGAAAGCTTTAAAGCTTTCATGGATTAGAGCCTGGCCGATAAGCTTGTGTTGCAATCAGTTTGCTGGTCTTTAGGGAGCCACAAAAATCCTTCCAACATACAAGCCCTCTGGAATTTGTAACCATACAGAATACCAGATTTAGTTTAATGAAGAATGCCTGCCTCTTTGCTCATAAAAACATCATCATAAATGTATAGGTTTATCATCGATAAGTAGTAGAAAAAATTGACTGAATCAGAATCAAATATAGCTGCACAGAAGCATAATAACAAAATAGTGGAAGTTATTAAGCATGATACCAGCAGTCATGAAAAATGCCCTTTCATAAGAACTTGCCTTTTCCTAACTAGTATGGTTAGAATAAGGCCCTATCTTAAATAATATAAAATGTTGTTATCTTTTATAATATTAGACAATAAAAATGACAAAGCAGCCTGCAGCCAAATTGACCTCTCTCCAAGTTTTAAATGTTAAGAATGTGATTTTCAATATATGTAATAGCAGACTAGTTTGATGCAGGTCTATGACTGTAATACAGAGTTGATCAGACCAGTTTCAGAAAATTACCAGTGATGATAGTAAAACTCAAAGTCTTTGCAATTGTATACAGTCTGTATTTCACCATTGTGCTACAAAGTGAGTCCATGAAGCCCTATGTGATTTTCCTTTTCCTTCTCTTGCTGTTATTAGTGATCCAGTATAGTTAGTTCTTGCGTACAGTGTATTTCTAGAGGGAGGTCTATGAGAAAGCAGCCTATCCTTTGTTAGCATCTAGTAAACCATACTTGCAACAAATGCATTAGCCTTGGCTAATGAATAAGCTGAACCTGGAAGTTTGTACCATGACCAGCTTTTCATATCCATCTTTCATTTTAAAAACTTCAGGCAATCCAGGAACAATGTCAGCTCTCATGTTCCATGACATTACAATAATTACAGTCGAAACATTGCTCAGTCACATAACGTAAACCTAGGAATTGTATCTAGATATCTCGATTGGTATCTAGTATATCAATCTAGATGTCACTTCCCCAAATTCAGTTTTAACCAGTCAAAATTACAAATGAAATTGCATCAACTCAGTGAAAATGTAAAATGACCCTCATGATTGGATTTTCAACAGTGCCATATACAATACATTTGAAATAGTTTTTTATGGAAAATATTGGGCTCCTGGTCACTTTCAGACTCCAGTTATAATGAGTGGTGGGCTTTGCTGTGGTTATAGATCCTTAGTGCCCATCTAAACTCAACTGATGTTAATCTGCCCAAGAGTATCCTCTATTTGGACCAAAATTTGCTTCTCAATTCTCCTATCATGTTTTCAAGATCTTTGCCTATTTGGCTGTATTACAGTTGAAGTCATTTTCATTGCTAGAGTGGTGGCCCTCAGCCATTGGAAATCCAAAGTGAACCGAGAGAAGTAAATCAAGAACTGGTAGAATAAACAGTCTCCAAATTGTCACATATATATTGGGATAGAGAAGAAAATGGGGGAAATGAATCTATTTTGAATGCATCTTTGGATGTATACAAAGACCAGTTTAGTCTTCTGTACTTTGTATGATATGCAGTTTCAATTAACTCTCTCTCTGTGTGTGTGTGTGTGTGCGTGTGCGCGCGCGTGCGCACACACACACACACACACATAGCACACCTGAGGAGATAAATAGAAAAGGAGAAAGTGGGAAAAACATAAGGATCGTATATAATAAAACATTTAAAGTAAATTTAGACCAGGAAAGAAAAAAGGTTCTTTTAGCTGTAGAAAAAATTATAAATAGATTCATTCAATTTTAGGTTGTGATCATTCATGGTTTCTTTCTCAAGTCTTCAGTTATCATGTTTATTGGCCTTGGTCACAGGCAAGCTCATGCGCCCATTATCTCCTCACCTTTAAAAAAGTTTATGCTAGCTACCGTGTTTCTCCAACAATACGACCTCCCCCAATAGGAAGACCCAGCATGTTTTCTAGGCATAAAATGAAATTAAGCCCCTCCCTCCAAATTTAGGCCTATTTTAAAACATGCAAAATGGGGGGAAGGGCGGTCCCTACTCCTGCCAAGCACCTTTGCGGCAGACCCAAGACCTTCAGCGCCCGCTGCTGTTGACTTCCCTTCTGCCCATGCCTCCGCAGCGTTTGGAGCTGCCACTTCCACGTTTGGAGCACCACTGCTGTTTGGAGCACCGCTGCCATTTGGAGCTGCCGCTTCTGCATTTGGAGCTGCCACTGCGTTTGGAGCTGCCGCTTCCACGTTTGGAGCGCTGCCGCTGTTTGGAGCACTGTTGTTGTTTGGAGCTGCCGCTTCTGCATTTGGAGCTGCCGCCGCGTTTGGAGCTGCCTCTTCCGCGTTTGGAACCTCACCGCTGTTTGGAGCACTGCTGCTGTTTGGCGTTGCCATGTCCGCATTTGGAGCTGTCGCCGTGTTTGGAGCTGCCGCTTTTGCGTTTGGAGCACTGCCGCTGTTTGGAGCACCACCGCCATTTGGAGCGCTGCCGCCACTCCAAACACGGTGGCAGCTCCAAATGCGGAAGTGGCAGCTCCAAACATGACGGCGGTGCTCCAAATGGCGGCGGCACTCCAAATGGCAGCGGCACTCCAAACACGGAAGCGGCAGCTCCAAACGTGGCAGCGGAATGGGCAGAAGGGAAAGCAATAGCAGCGGATGCCAAAGGTCTTGGGTCTGCAGCAAAGGTGTTTGGTGGGAGTAGGGAGCTCTCTGCGCTTTGCCATGATCACCTGTTAGGAACGGCTGGTGGCGAGGCTGCCCGTGGGGCGCTCTAGATGAGGATGCAAGGGGGGGAATTAAGTCACCCCCAAAAAGACGGCCTAGCCATTTTTTCGGGGCTCAAAAAAATATAAGACCCGGCCTTATTTTATGAGAAACACGGTAGTTTATGAAAAGTTTTCTATTCTATATATTCGCCACTATTGCAAAGTTTTCTATATAAAAATAATTTACCCCAAAGGCATAAATCAATTTATTTAAACTGAATGAAACAATTCTGATATTATTTTGAAAACTGTTCGCTCTCTACTTAGTTATTTCTTTGTTGTTTTTAATATATGTAATGTATTTATTCTATATTTTAACCTTTTATAATGTTGTTTTAACAGATTGTAAGCTAATCAGATGGACAGTGAATAAATTTAAAAATAAATAAATGTAATAAATAAAAATAAAGAGTACAGTCTGTTCATCAACACATATTTTAATAAAGACAAAGGATTTTGTTTATAATTGCAGCACATATGTTGCTTAGAATCAATTACCACTGAAGTAGCATATAAGCCCAAAAAATATGCACACTCCACACACACAGATGTTTACAAAATGTTTTTCAGCATACCAATGTGAGACAGAAGGGAGGAAAGAATATTAAAAAAAAATGTGTTGTCATTCCATTGTTTATTATCAATTATGACATGCTTTTGTGTTGAGTAGAAGAAGGATGTGGCCTAGCATGTGCTGGGTGGCCTCCCCACTTTCTAAAGGATCTAATTTAGTACTCTTGAATACGACATTCTCTATGTATTTATTGTAAAATGAAGAATGAGGAGGGGGGGAGGAAGAGGAGGCGGCAGCTATCACAAAATGACACCAATAGCAGAGAGCGCACATTTATCACTGATTATGTTTTTGCTGCTTTCAAAAAAACCACTCTAAGTAGCTTGGCTACAAATGATGCAAATAATTAGTCTTGAGCTATGTTATCAATGAGGTATGACATGCCACAAACTGTGAGCTCACCTTAACATAAAGCTGCTGAAATTCCTCTAGGTTCAGTCTTCCACTAGGGCAATCTTTTAGAAACCCTTTGTACCACTGCTTGAGTTCATGTTCATTAAATTCCGTGCTCTTCACCAGATCTTCCATCACTTCGGGAGCCAGTTTGCTATTCTGCTTCCCCATTATGCCTAAGAAAAACAAGAGATATTATTATAAGTGGTTTGTACAAAGGGGCATTAGCATTTAATCACTGGAATTATTTTGAAACTAACCGCTTCTAACGCTACTTTTGGATATCAATCCCAGGTACTGTAATTTTTTTCTCCGCAACTGGTTATGGTAGACAAACTAATGCCTTCCAGAGATGGAAGACCACCCACGGCTCCTTCTTTTAGCTAGTTTCCTTGCAGATGGTCTGGCCAGATTATAACACCTTACCTCAGTTTTTAGGGTACTGGGTAAACCAAGAATCTCTATCCTTCTATAGAATTCAAGTTTTTAATATAGCTATTAGACAGGTTTCCTTAAAAATATTTTACAATATGTTATTTTATTTATTTTATTTTATTTAGAAATATTTCACAAGAAGAGTTCTCCATTCCTCTACTCGTTGTAGAATACCTTATGCCACCAGACTTGAAATTCTAGACCTAGAAAACCTTGAATTATGCTGTCTTCTGTCCGATCTAAGTATGGTATATAAAATCATACATTGCAATGACTTACCTGTCAATGAATACTTCAGCTTCAACCATAACAACACAAGAGCACACAATAGATACAAACTCAAGGTTAATTGCACCAAACTTTATTGCAGGAAATATGACTTCAGCAACACAGTAGTCAATGTCTGGAATACTCTACTTGACTCTGTGGTTTCTTCCCCAAACCCCCAAAACTTTAACCTTAGACTGTCTACTATTGACCTCAACCCTTTTCTAAGAGGTCTGTAGGGGGCATGCATAAACGCACCAACGTGCCTCCCATCCCTGTCCTATTGTTTCTTTTATTTTTCTTATATGTACCCATTTCATATATTCATAACTATGTATATACTTATACCTATTATCTTGTAAGCGATTGACAAATCAAAATAAAATAAAATAAAATCAATAAAAACCTGAATATAAACAAATAGCTGTAATCCTCTGCATTGACTCCCTTGTATTTGTTGAATCAGTAAAACAATACCATTTCTCCCTTCTTCAAGTTAAATGGAGAAAATTGTGCCAGATGAGCAGGCCTGCTCCATACAATCCTCAATCATAATTATATGGCTTTATTCTTGCATCTTCTTCTCAAATACTACTTCTTTTATTAACAAAACTAGTTTGCTAATTACAGTCCCTACAACAGTTCTGAGCTTCTATCAAGCTGTGAATCCAAAGACTTCTCGTTGCAGATTTAATTAATGAGGATAAGAAAACTGTAATTCATGGATTATCTAGTCTATCAGAAAATGGATCCCAACACTTTCCAAGGGTTCGTGTACTATTCTACATTGTTACAATGAATGGGGTTCGTTTCCGTGACACTATACAATGAGAATCTATACATTAATGTTCTAATGAAATGGTACTTTGGCAGTGACTTTAATAAATTAGCACATAACAATAATTCAGTAAATGTGACATATATAAATGGCAAGCATATCAAAATTAAAATAATGACACAATTTCAAAATGTTACCACCTGTGATAAGAATTTAGCAATTTTCACATGGGTTTGAGATTGCCACCTGAATTTGTAACGTTTTTACCTTTATTATTAACCTTTTGGTCTTACCACTGAAAAGTTGCAAAATCCTGTACTGAAGTTTGAACACTCCCTGCTATTGCAGTAATCTTAATAATGACAGTGTTATCCTCGCCATGATTGTTATAAAATCTCTGGTATACAAATAAGGAATGCAGTACAGCAATGATGTACTGATTAGAATATTTGATTAGGATCATACTCAGATTCGTAGTCCCATTCTGTTGTAAAGTTCATTGGGTGAGCTTGACCTTATTTCTTAGCCTAATCTACATCACAAAATTATTGAGAGGATAACATGAAGTAGAGCAGGGGTATCAACCTGGCAGACTGTGGGCAGGATGTGTCACATGCAGGCCACGCCGCCCACCCAGTTTCATGAAGAGGAAAAACATTGTGAAACATCACGTGACAGCAACGTGACACTGCAAGTTTGACACCCGTGAGGTAGAGGAAGTGAGGAGTATCATTTGTCCTGCTTCAAAAATATCATGATAGAAAAATGGTATTCTGGAGACTCCTGTAGATTCACTTAGCCACCTGGCCAAGATCTCATGCTGAGGTCAGAATAAATTGATTATTATTCTCTTCAGCATTAGAACCATTTGAGAGTTAAAACATGGGATTTCCATGAGGAGGAAATAATGCATCGTATTTTATATGTGAAGTCTCATCCCGATTAGACAATTAGAGAAAACTAGGATAAACAATGTTTTTATGTTTTCCCAATGTTCAAAACACCATACATCTGGTATCATGCTGCCACCTTTACAATATTATTAATTTTGCTTTTGTAAATTGATGGGGAAGGGTCCCAGGTTGCTTATGGTGAATATGCACAATTTGAAAATGGAATGATCTGTTTATCTATCTATCCATCCATCCATCCTTCTTTCAATCTCTTTCAATCATTCTGAATTAAGGAAGATCTTGGATTACCAGTTACAAAAGAGGGAGATGGCATTCAGGACTAGGTAATTTTCACACTTTTAATTTTTCTATAAAGGAAAACCAGTTGTAAAGCTAAGATGACACTAGATTGTGAGTTCTGCTAAGAATAAACCAGCTGAATACCTTTCCTTTGAATCCTTTTGGAGCAAGAAGCATACTATAAGTGTTCCTGTATCATTTATAAGTGCTGTAGCATCAATTTTTCTGGATGTGGAGAATGCAGCAGTTGAGAACACAGGTAAGGGTAAAATGAGCAGTTCTCAATTAATTAAAGAGTAATTTTACAATTACAATTGTAAAATAGAGCCCCATGTTTACTAGCTGAATGGAAGTTCTCAAATGTTGATCCTAACTTAGGCAAAGTGTACAGGGAAAATACTGAGAAAAACATCCCAAGCAAGTACTGAATTCCACACAATGTGATAAAAGGCCAATTTTCCTGTTATTTCCTTTTATTAAGCTTCCCCTGCTGTGCCCTGGTAACAACTGTGACTCTTAACAGACCTCTGGGCACCGTTCCTCTGTTCTCAGGCTTCTTTTAAGACTGCCTTTCTTTATACTCCTGTCAGCATGAAAAGCAGATAGAAGTGATACAAAGCTGTCAGGTCCCTGTCATGTGTTGGACCCTTTCTTACATAATTTCTGGGAGCAAAAAAAAAAAAAAAAAAGATGAGAAAAATATTAATGTAAAACAGGAACCTTGTGCCCGTACTGGCAGAGCAAAATGACTGGAAAAACATGGCTGAAGAGACTTGTCAGCAACCTGCCTCCATTCCTTTCTGAAATATTGCCCTCTGCTCTATTCAAGGCACGGATAAGCCTTGGAAATGGAGGCTTTTCAAAGTGGAGATGCACAGCTCTAGAAAAAAGTCTTCCCCCTTAAATTAGGAAGTAACCTGTTCACGAACTGACTGTGGGAGGATGCATGTGTCTTGATTTGTTCATTTTCTGGTTTTGGTTCTCAGTCCTGAATTGGAAATAAGTGTTCCCCATCCTTATTAAAACTGAGTCCCCTCCACCCCAAGAACTGGGTATTGTATCATAGAGCTTAAGAAAAGATTGCTTGTTAGTTTTATTGCAAAGAAAAAGAAAAATGGAGCTTCTTCACCAAAAGAACAAGCAACTCTACCATTTTGAAGGAGCCATTACAATTTTCAATAATGGGGCAACTGGAGTTCTGCAGACATGGATCCATTTAGCTGGGAGTCAGCTTCCCAAACGTACTAGGATTCACTTCTGAGTAAACAATTTGATATAACAATTTAGTCTGATTGGAGTAGGAGCAGGGAGATGCATGTTCCTTCTTTGCCTCAAGAACAGGAAGTCAGCAGGATGACATTGGGCCTGTTGTTTTTCTCTCTGCCCTGGGAAGGCAAAGGCAACTGGCTTCTGAAAATTCTGCAAAGAAATCTGCATGGACTTCTCATTGGGAATCAAGTTTGATTCAAGGGCAACAAAGAAATCAATGCACATAACAATGGTAGCCTTGCCTCAATCTATCTGCACCAGGCCCCAAGTTACTCTAGAGTAAGGAAATATTCTTCTGCTCCTCCCACTAGATGTGAGTTGAAAAGGTTTCTGCTTGGCTTTGGCTATCCCATAGCAATCCATTCTGACACCCTGGTTTTGTAGCTGTATGAATGAAGACATTTTAAGACTGAGACTGGATTTTCATCAGTAAGCTCAGGATTATCCAGCTCTATTTCTCGCTGTCTTCTGTCAGGTGAGCCAATATAAATGCTGCAGTAGGTTGTGGATGCTGTAATGGTTTGGACAATAGCCAAGAAACTTGGCAAGATGAATGTCCTGTGGTTTGTAATCTTGTATGCCCAGGAACTGAATAGGTCTCTAAATCTGGATGGAATTGTATTCTCACTAAAGAAGCAGGTGAGCAGTTTGAAAGTCCAGATGGCATAAGCGGTCTGAACACACTGGCTGCAATGCTGCCTGGAAAAGGATGGCCTGTCTACAGTCATTCATACATAGTGAACTTTTATTGCGGGCTTGAACCTGACACAATTCGTTTTATTGCTACACCTTAACTGTTATACTTACTTGGCTTCCAGCTCTTCGAAACGAATTGGTAAGAAGGATAAAAGGATTTGCAAAAGGGTGGCTCAGAATTATAACTAAGAACCACCAGAGAAAAAAAGATGGAATAATCTACATGCTTCAGGGAACCCTAATTTTGCCAAAGATTATATTTAAAAATTTTTTTTAAACAAAATTGTAATGCAACTTTTAAAAAAATCCAGAAAGCATATGTAAAATGAAAAAGAAAGATTATGGAAGAAGCAAAAAATAGAAAATGCAATCATGTTCTAGCACAGTGATGGCGAACCTTTATGTTGTGGTGGGCCGAAAGCGTGCATGTGCTGGCACCCACAATGCAATGCGCCCCGCCCTCCCTGTGCATGCACATGCAACACCCCCACTGCTGCCCCTTACTTGCACTGTGCATGCCTCCCAGCGTGATT